CGTCACACACACACACTCTCAGGAACGTGCGTGTCACACACACACTCTCAGGAACGTGCACGTCACACACACAACCTCAGGAACGTGCACGTCACACACACAACCTCAGGAACGTGCACGTCTCACACTCACATGCTCAGGAACGTGCACGTCACACACACACTCTCAGGAACGTGCACGTCACACACACAACCTGGGCCTCATGATGTATTTCTATTTTAAACTTTATTTTTCATTGATCTTTATTTATCCAGGTCGACTCATTGAGTCACGAGAACTCATTTTAAAGAGAGACCTGTTTAGGAGCAGGTGGTGGGGGTTGAGTGCCTTGCTCAGGGGACCAGGGTGGGGCCAATGAGGGTGGAGGCAGGTGTGGGTGTTTCACCTTTTCCACCTCATTTTGATGTTGACGGTACCGGGAGTTGAACCTGTGACTTTCCCATCACAGGCCCATCTTGTAACCTCTGCTCCACCACTCCTCCACATGACATCATATCATACTGGTCGTATTAAAATCTCACTGGTTTCCTTCCAGATGTGTTAAACTGGTCCCCTGATGTTTGCAGGTGTGTGTGGTCAGTGGATGAAAAGCCTGGCATGAACAAGATGATGCTGGAGATGATGATTTGACGAGAGCTCCCACCTTCTACCTGTGAAGAACAAGAGCAGCTCAGTGAAGGAGCTGAGAGCTGCAGAGAGGCTGATCCATGGAGCTTCAACACAGCAACCTCCAAACATGGCCACCCTCACACACATCGTCTGTGGACACACTGGACCACAGCACAACATGATAACACACTGACAACAACAACAACACACATTCATTAATGATTCAGACAAATATTTATTGTTTGTTTGTTTTACAATTAAAAACAGTTTATTATCCACTGTTGTCATCACTCTTTGTTCAAATCCAGGTCTCTTTTGTAAATGAGTCCTATTGGCTCAATGGAACTAAACTGTATCAATAAAGGTTGAATGAATATAAATATACACATAATGATTTATTCAACCTTTTATTTATACAGGTTGACTTCATGGAGCCACAAGGACTCGTTTACAAGAGACCTGCTCCAGACACAACAGGAAACAATGGCAACGATAAACTACAGTAAAAATAATAGAGATGATATATATATATATATATATATATATATATATATATATATATATATAAGATAATGAAATTATAATGTGTGTGCGTGTATTTATATATGGTGGCAATATGTGGTTATATATAAAATAGATATAATTGTATGTGTGTGTGCTGGGCCGGATTTTAGCAGGGGCTTACAGGGGCTGCAGCCCGGGGCCCCAAAGGATGTTTTATGTTTTTGTGAATGGACAGTGTCAGAATTTAATCAATGACTGATGATTTTGACAGCACCGATGAAAAATGTTCCAAACGTCCATCTTGAATGCTTGCTTGTTATTGGTCCACTTTTGACGCATCTTACGCATTGGGGAGGAGCATCAGGGAATATTATTTTACAATGGCGGACAACAGAAAATATGACAGCGGAGCGCAGAAAAGAAGGAAGAGAAAAGAAAAAGAGCATCGCGACAAAGAGGCGACAAACAAAATGCCTAAACTTACAGGCTGACTGAAAGAACTTTGTGCTGTAAAATAATTTGAAAACAAACTTGGTCTTTTTTTAAAGTTTATCTGCTAAATTAAAGTAAAAATTTAAATGATTGTAGATACAAAACAAAGATTTTGCATGTCTGCATTATGAGACAGGCTCAAAGTTTCTAACTTTTCAGGCTTGAGTATTGTTTTCTTATTTGGGTTACATGGTTTGTGTTTGAGTAAATGTAGGTCGTGTTTGTGGTTCTAGTTCCTCCAAATAAGATGAATGCAGAAGTGTCATTAATAAATGGAAATCTGTATTTTGTTCTTCATATTTTTCAACATGTTCTCTGTACAAACCTTGGTCTAGAAGATGAAAATTGTTCATTTTCACCCATCTCTGCTTTTATTGAGAACAGGGGGCTGTAAAAAAATCATAGAATATGAAAAAAAAAAACTAGCTAGTTTCAACCCCAACATGTGGTTTAGTCTTTCTAGAAAAGAGTTCAGAGTTGTTTGTAGTTTGTGACAACTGGCTTATTAAAGTTGTAAGTAGTGTAAAATTACTGTTCGGTCATTTTCTGCTCATCCTCTAAAACAAAACAAACACATACAAATATATATATATATATATATATATATAATTCAAGTCAATAGTAAACAGCCATCAGTGTGCTAATGATCCATTGTTAGGCTGATGGTCCTTCTTGAGCATGTGATCAGCTGGTTTTGGTTGTCAGCAGCAAAACTGGTTGATCCACTCTGAGAAGGTGCTATTTAAGAGACTGAGCTGAATACAGCACCTCAGACTGAGGAAGTCTCTCGGATGAGAGACGAAACGTTTCTAGATTTTTTTTGTTGATTTGATTTGTTTTGTTTTTTTGAATGTCCAGAGGACCAGATTTAACTTTTTTAGATTTTTCTACCTGGATTTTTGAGCATGCATCAGGATAATTCTTACAGCTCTTTTCTGTAAAATAAAAACAGGTTTTTTAAATGTTTTACATGCTTTCCCCGAAACATCAATGCAATAGATTAAATGTGGAACAATGATTGTGTTATACAAAATGTACAAAGCTTTATCATTTAATAATTCCCTGACTTTGTATAGTAATGCAATAAATTTAGATATTTTTGTTCTTACAGAATTGATGTGATTTTTCCATGTTAGCTGTTCATCAATGATTACACCCAAAAATTTCATCTCATTAACTCTACAAATCTCAACACCCTCAGTTTTAAATGGATCATCAACAGTTCTCTTTTTGTTACTAAATATCATGTATTTAGTTTTATCTAAATTCAATGATAATTTATTAAGTTTAAACCAAGTTTGTATTTTATCAAATTCTGTCTTCATCAATTCCAACATCCGTTTTACATCTTTACCCAAACAAAAAAATGTGGTGTCATCTGCAAAAAGGACACATTTGAGGAGTCCTGATACATTCACTAAGTCATTCACATATAAAATAAATAACTTTGGTCCAAGTACAGAGCCTTGAGGAACTCCACAAGTGATATTGCACAGGTCAGATCTTACACCATTTATTTGTACAAACTGTTTCCTATCTTTTAAATAGCTAGATACCCAGTGTAATGCTGGTCCTCTTATACCATATTTATTTAATTTTTCAAGGAGAATAGTGTGGTCAATAGTATCGAATGCTTTTTTTAAATCAACAAAAATACTAACACAATACTGTTTTTGATCGACAGCAGTAGTTATTTGTTCTATTATTTCCACGAGAGCCATTGATGTAGAGTTTTTTGCTCTAAACCCATACTGACTGCTACTTAGAATGTTTTGTTTAGTAATAAATTTATCTAATCTGGTCACAAATAGTTTTTCTAGAATTTTTGAGAACTGTGGTAATAAGGATATTGGTCTATAATTATTGAACACACATTTGTAGATGAACAGATGCTGAGATATATTCATCAATTAAAACGGATTCTTCATTTTTCTGGACTGAATAAACGTGCATTGAATTTAATGAAATGTAACGTGAGACGTCATTTATCTTTGACCCATCAAAATGAATGCGGTCATTTATTTTACAGAATCAAAGTTTAACATCAAACATTTACATTAATTTGGCAAA